CTGAAGATGCAATCGATATTTTTGCTACTAGATTCAACAAGGTTCCTCTTGTTATCAAATTACTTAAAGTGCACTATTTTGCCTTGATTCTCGAATGTTGGAAAAAATCACCGAGCATGTAAAATCATTTTGATGAAAGTGATTTTTGGACGCCTGATCAAATTGAGCGTTATGAAAATCAGACGTTTAATGCTTGTCAAGTGGATCGTCAACAGATGCAAGCATTTTTTTCGTATTTAAAAAAGCAAAGCGAATATTTTATTAGCGATAGTCATCGTAGTAAATTTAATTATGTTCTTGAAGCTAACGATGTTATAGGAGACAAAGATGATTTCTGGGAAAAAGTCAAAATTAATTAATTTTTTGGACGCCTTATTGTTTAATGATTTTTTTGTAAAAAAGTAAATAGTTGTTTGTTAAATTTTTTTATTAATAAAAAAGTTATTATTGCAATTTTTTTTTCTTTAAAAATAAGATATTTAAAATATTAAAAAAATATATACTTTTTAAGAATGATATATTTTTTGTCATTCTTAAAAAATTTTTAAAATTTATTTTTATTTTTTAAAAAAACATAAGAAAGATGTTTGATTTTGTAATGGATATTGAAGCTATTGATTGTGGAGTAAAGCATGAATGGGGAGACTTTAGCATTCGTGAAATAAGTATCGTGAATCGACATTTGACTTGTATTATCATTTTCAAGTATGCAAAACAAAAGAACAAATGAAAGAAATTCATCAACAAAGAGCTGAATATGTCAAATGTAATATAAATAACCTTGACATTTTTGTATTTAGTATTTACCGTTGTGATGACGTTAAAGAGTTGCTGAAACTACTCTGCAAGGAAAAGAGTGTTATTTATCATAAAGACGCTATGGAAAAAAACTTAATAGAGTTTATTGGTTGCGTTTATAGTCAGCTTGCGTATACACTAATAGTCATAGTCTTGCTAGCGATCGGTACGTAAACAATTTGCACGTCAACATTGTCGATTTGACTTCGTAACTTTGCTGTATGTTCTCGGAACAATGCTAAATGATCGTGTTTTGTTCGATCAGCTGTGATTTCTTTTAAAAGATGCACCGCTGAATTTCTATTACGATTACTCGACGGAAATTCTTCTGCGAGGATGCGATTGGTTTCAGGCGACTCGTTAAATGCAACTCTCAATTTATAATTACCAACTAAAGTGTTCTATTTGGTATTTTGTTTGAAAGGAAGAGCATGAAAACAACTAATAGCGTCTATTTGCAAATGAGAACCGCTTGTAATCAAATTGCTATACTGTGAACTTTTTAAACAGTTATCTTGGATATCGTCAAAAATAAACACTGTTTTCGTTTTTCTATTGTTGCTATCTTGTGTTTTCGTAGGCTTCCTGTTGATTTTGCAAAAGGCTAGCAATAATGTTGTCCAAAGACTTTTTTCCGTCGAGTTCGTGAAAATAAACGCTTTTTATTTTTGAATAGTCGCTTCGACACACGCGTTGCCATTCTTGTTTTTGCTCCTTAGCCAGCTGTCGTTTATTAATCAATTGATAATGTCTGGCTTCGAACTTTCCGTTCATTACAATGGAGCGAGTCAATTTGCTTTTGACCGTTTTTACAGGACCTACGATAAGCACATTGCCCTGATAAACATTGACTTGTTCCTTGAAAATGTCATACTTTTCAGAAGGCAGTTCTTAGTCGCAAATTTCGCTAGATTTCGCAAGATCCTTTTTTTTGACACATTGTCTCGTAAGCGTTTTCCATTTTTTTTTTTCATGGTTATAAAAAAAAAAAATTTCAAAAAAAAATTTATTTAGTACTTTCTTGTATCGATTTTAAAATAGGCAACGCAAAGCGTCTCATGAAGACGTCTCTTTTTTGTAAATCAGGACAAGCGTTAATCATTTGTTTTTCTTATTCAAACAATTGGCGTAACTGCTCGTCGCTGCACATTTTTGGCATGTCGTTCTTGACTGTTTGGTTTAATTTTCTCAAAGCACGCAATCGAATATCGCCACGAATGAGTCCCAACCCGTTATTGCATACATACAGCTTTGAGTTGACTTTATTCATAAAATTTAATTTTTTCTCAACTCAATGCGATGCCTTTAGTTGAAAACTGAAGTCGATTTTGTTTAAATAAAGTGCTTGATCTGTTAAAGCAGGATCTGGTGCTGTCAAAATAGTTTTCCAAAACAAACAAAGAAAGTCCGTTGACATAATGCGACGTCACTTTATAACATTTAGCAGCAAGAGCTATCACAAAAGTAATAAGTTTATTAGGTGATTTGTTTTGAAAGCGATGGGTCATCTTTTGATAACGAGTAGAATAAAGTGGGTGCTCTTTTGGATAATTCGAGTAATCCATCATGCTTTCAAAATCCTTGTCATTAGCTAATTCGTTTTCAACTTTTATATCAAAATCTTCACAGTGATCTCCGTATAAACTAAAAAATAGAGAATCCGTATTTGTTGCAACAAGCTGACAAAAAAGGAGAGCTCTTTTAATAACGCTTTTAATAACAGGAGAGCTCTTTTAGTAACGCTTGCAAAAACAGTAACACTTTTTTTGGCGTGTCCTAAAATGCCACAAGCTACTAAGCGCAAGCTATCGTTTAAAACATTTCTTTTTGTGGTGATCAAACAAAACGCATCGTTTATTTTTTCGTTTCTCAGAGCGATTGACATTGCTTCAAACTCGTTTATTGTTTTATCAGGTGAATACACACTTTTTGTATCAAAATGAAATATTTCAGCCAATATTAAATGCTTATAAATACTTGAATAAGAATCAATTCCATCGCGACGAATTCGTTTATTACTTAAATCAATGCATACTTGCTCTACATCGTGCACGTCTAAAAGAGTTGTTACACTGGCAGGCAAATAGGTTTCAATTTCTAATATACCGTTTTGTTTTAAATAATTTTACTGCTTCGATTATACTTTGCAAACTTTTTCTCAGGCACTTTTGTTTGTTCACTATAAACTTGCAATTTTTATAAGTTTCACTCTTTCTCGCTGTCCAGCCATAATGCCTATTAATCATCAATTTAAAAGATCCGTCTTTTACTTTATCACCGACAGCGTTTGCTTCAGCTCTCTTTTTCGATAAACTGCTCACAAATTCTTTTGCTAAATTATAACGAATAACACCTACAACAGCTAGCTTTAACTATAATAACATGTTCAGTCATCCATAGAAGACGATCCAAAGATTCGACAGTTTCATGCTCGTCTAATTTGTAGACGAGTCTTTCGCCTTTATCGACCGCTATTTGAAAAGAATTAGAGCGAGTGTCCCATTTTCGTTTGTCTAAAATTTCGCTCAGTGACAAATTGCATATCGAAATGCTGTCGCCTTTAATACAAGGCAAAATACCGCCAGTGAGCCAGTGATAGCGATCGTCAATTTTAATAACCCATCTTGCAAGTGCGGATTTAACAAACGAACCATTACTTTCGCCACCATAAACATCAGCTACAACGTTTGATAATGATATTCGATAAAACTACGCATAGCAAACGGTAGAAGCAGTTCTTGGGCGCCAGCATTCTGACCATTTTCATCCATTATCAAAATTTTATTCGACATATTAGGTTGTTCATTTAAAACATTTTCAAAATACGAAGTGGCTGAGGCGACGCTCTGTGTGCCGTTTGTAGACATGTCTCCTTCCATGCATTCTTCAATCATACGATGATGTTCTTTAGGAGGATGCTGAATGGCGATATTGCCAATATGCGAATTCATTTTACTTGAAAAGGAAAAAGAAGAAAGTTGTGAGATGGCATGAAAATGAAGTTCGTTGTAAATTTTATTGTCAAAATCAAATAAAACAAATGCCAAAGCGATCGTGTCAATGACATAAATTTCCAACAAAGTAGAGTATTTTTTTAAATCTAACATTTTCCACATGGCTAACACGTTTTCATAAGGTTCTTTTAGCGCGACACGTTCATCTTCTTCGTTTTTACATCGACTCAATTTGTTGTGTAATAAATCTTCGATAGGCGGGCAACACGGATTACCGTCAACGTCGACGAGCGGCTCTTCCAAACTTTCATAACTAATTTTAGAATAAGGAAAGCAACTTTTTCCTGTAAAAAACTGAGTTCCTTAGACATTGCTAATCAACTCAGCTCCTCGTTGATGCGAAACGATTTTTGTTTTAATCAAATAATAGGCTGATTTAGAAACTGAGACGCGGACGTATTGTAGAACGCCGTTGTAAAACCGCGGTCTCGTTGTCTCATTTTATTTTTAATCTGATTTAGAAAAGTTACAAACCAGAACGTGGACTTAGGATTTCGATTATTCAAAAAAAAGGAGTATCGAATGTTTTTGTTTAAAAAAAATGCAACGTTGTATAAAAATAAAATGAAATAAATTTTATAAATTTTTTGTTTTATTTTAATTAGTGTTTTTTTTTTAAATTATATATATATATATATATATATATATATATATATATATATATATATATATATATATGTATATATATATATATATATATATATTTATATATATATATATATATATATTATTAGTAATAGTAAAATAAAAAAAGTAATAATTAAAATAAAAAAGTATCAAGTTGAAATATGACTGCGTTGAACAGCCTTAAAACTGCAAGAGACTCATTGTTAATTGCTTACTCCGAGGACATAATAGATGATTGTGAATTTGCACTGCTCTATCAACTAAGCTAATCAAGAGATATATATCCTCACTGGGACTACAATAAGTTTAACCTATCGTTGCTGGATGATGCACAGTGTTGGACTGATCTACGTTTTCGAAAAACTGACTTACCACATTTGCTAAATATTTTCAGATTACCTGATGTAATAAAATGCACTCAAGGAACAATCTGTAGAGGAATGGAAGCCTTATGCATTATGCTTAAAAGATTAGCATTTCCATGTCGCTATACTGATTTGGCAAATACATTTGGTAGAAACCCTACAGAAATTTGTCTGATATTTAACACTGTAATTGATCATGTTTACAATAAGCTTAGTCATAAACTATTACTTTGGGATCAACCTGTTACAATCAAACAATCTACGACAGTTTGCTGATAATATCCATGGAAAAGGGGCACCCCTAGATAATTGTTTTGGTTTTATCGATGGAACTGTTCGTAGAATTGCTAGGCCTAAAACAAATCAAAGAATTGTCTATAATGGTCATAAGAGAGTTCACGCACTAAAATTTCAAAGTATAGTAGTTCCAAATGGTATGATAGCAAACTTAGCTGGTCCGTTTGAGGGTAAAAAACATGATAGCACTATGTTATGCGAATCTGGTTTATTGCAACAGTTGCAGCAGTTTGCATGGCATGATGGGCGTCCTTTATGTTTATATGGTGATCCAGCCTATCCAATTGGAGTACACCTCTTAGCACCATACAGAAGTTTGAATATTACCCCAGACCAACATGCATTTAACAAAGCTATGAGTGCACATCGTGTTAGTGTTGAGTGGGTATTTGGTTTAATGACAAATTATTTTAAATTTATAGATTTTAAACAGTCTCAAAAACTTGGCTCAAGTCCCATTGGAAAAGTGTATATTGTATGTTAATTAAATACAAAATGCACACACTTGTCTTTATGGGAACATTGTTTCAGATTATTTTGGTTTGGAAGCTCCCTCACTACAAGAGTATTTTCAATAATTCAATATCGATAAGAAATTATAATGATAAACTTATTAAAAATTATGCCTGTTGAAAATCTAATAGATTATTGAAAATATTGCTAAACTTTCACGATTCTTTAAAATATAAAAAGATAGTCACACAAAGAATTATTTATTCCCAAAAAAATGCTAACATAACAATTAAGTTCAAAAGAAAAAATTTAGTTTATTAAAAATAAAAATTTCTTTTTACAAATTTCTTTTTTCTAATAACATTTTTAATATTTCTGTTTGTTGAGCTAACATATGATTAAACATATTTTGAATATTATTTTGTTGTTGCTGAGCAAGAGCTCTTGCTTCAGCTCTTTCTTCTCGCTCAATGCGTCTATTTTCTTTATCTGCTTCCATTTTTCACGCAAAAATATCAATGTATCATTTGATGATCTGCGAGATGTCTTTGGAGACTTGTCTTCATTATTAAGGGCTTTCCGTTTCCTTGTTTCCCCATAACGCTCCATAGCAGTATTTCTTATATCTATAGCTTTCACACGATCTTCATCTACTGCATTTTTTTTTTCTTGAGATTTTTCATCTTTCTGAGCATCTGTGTCATCACTGACTTCAATTAATTCTTCAACCAAAATATCATATTCAGTTATTTCTTTTCAACCTTCACCAGAAAGTTTTTTTTCCTTGTTCGCCTAAGCACGATGCTTTTTCATAATATTAGATAATCGATCTCGTACTCCTCTGCTTATAACATAGAAACCGTTTTTGTTTTATGAATCAGAAACCTGCTGCCACAGCTGCCCACGCTCTTTACTTCCAGGCTTTTGAATTAAGACACCTAAAGCTGCCACTTCCCTCATCATCATTATATCTTTTTCGATATTCCATTGCATACATGTTCTAAATAAAATCAATTAATTAATATATATGTTAATTTTGAGTTAAGTCCTGATTATAAATTGTTGACAGATTTATGTAAACATTGATAACTTATTTTCCAGAGAAAAAAATTCATAGTCAACATATTATAAATAAAACTACTTGAGTAAATTTGTCAACAACTTGATATTTACAAATTGTATTTGTACCAAATATAATTTATATAAATTATATATTTATTATTGATATATAATTCTATAATTTATATATATAATGCAATATATAATTATATTTGTGTAAAATATTATCACAATTTTATTAATTTCAATGAAACAAATGATTACTAAGTAAAGTTTTAATATTTTTAGTTGTGACATATCTAACAAAAATATTAATAACATTACAAAAAAATGAGTTTCACTGGTATAAAATAACTCACTGTCATTTAAAATATTTTACTGTCATAATATATTAAAAATACTTTAATAGTATTTCAAATACTATTTAAGAGTTGTTGACTCGTTGAAACGCTAATTGTGATCACAACTAGTGAAATACATTATTAAAATTATATTATAATTTTAGTAATATATTTCATTAGATGTAATCACAATTAGTGTCAACAACTATAATTTATAAGAAATAAATCTCAGAACTAATAGTTAAATTAATAACAGATTGAATAAAGTTATATATTGAAAAATCTTACGAAGTAATTTACCTTTTTTGGCTTGAATTTGATGACAAACATATTGCATTTGGACAAACATCTGGATTTGAATTCGGCGAAGAACAAGTATCATCCATCTTTAATATGACGTTTTGAAGTAGACGCGGAAATGTTTGTTTTGAGGTTGAGAACGCGACTTCAAAAAGTCAAGACGTGAAAAATTATTCCGCACCAGTCTTGTTTTGGGGTTTCCCGAGCTTTTTTCACGTTCCCGTCTTGCTTTCTAAATCAGCTTAATGTATAACCGACAAACGTACTTGTTCTTTAGTTTTTGTGTCTAAATTACGAGTAGCATCTGCTAGCGACGTGTTTGTAATACGATAACTGTCTTTAAATCCCCAAACGATAACGATTTAATCTTGCTCATGTTGTTAATAACAAAAAAAGAATTTTCTAACGACAGTCGTTTGACGATGTTATCATAAATTAGGATCGTCTTTATGTGACCACAGAAAGCTGCAAAATTCTTCAAAGTGCTTATTAATCATAACACTGTGATCGAAAGGAGCATTGTGCGAAAAAATGTCCACGCGAGGTTTTTCAACTCTGCCATATTGTACATTGCAATACGAATGCGCCAACCCCAATACGGAACCAGTCCAATGGTCGTGATCGATAACTGCATGATCGATATAGCGATACACGAGAACTTGCAAATATGTTTCCAGGGTTGCTTTATTATTGTTAACATATTCGCTTTGGGTTTCTTCAGACATACTTAAACTTCCTGCCACTAGACAATGGTCCCATACTTGTCCCAATTTACTAACGCTACTCGTAAAATCAAAATACTTTAAAACAACTGAATAGTCTGTGTAGAGACAATTGATTTTGCCAACTAGAAACAAAATTTCATTATAAAAAAAATACGATTCGGATAACATGTCTTCAAACGTTTCTTCCTCTAATTCAAATCTTCTTCGAACTGTATTGACTATTGCTAATAGTGTATCATTGCTGACCATCAAATATTCACACAAACTTCCATTTTGAACACGACACAATACGCGACTTTCAAACAAATAAAAACATGCAAAAATGCGAAAAAGATAAAGCAAATGCTTTTCGATATTCTCCTTGCTTGTTACTTGCAAATAGTTTAAACTAAAACGACTAAGAGTGAAATGATTCATTTTGCTAATATTACCGAACAAAATGTAAACGTTAGGAGCATGATAAGCACCTTCGAATAGGTACACGTTATGATTGCTTGACAAAATGGTTTTTTCATAAACGCGTTTGTCCACACTCAATTTACATATGGTGCATTTCGGAAGCTCTTCATCAAATAATTGTTGTCTTTCGCGCTGCGAAATACGAAGCAAATGATTTTCTTTTCACTTTTCTTGCATTAAAGAAATAACTACATAACATATAGCGAAAAGATCAAATCACGTAAACTCTCCAAGTCCGACACATCTTCAACTCTTTACCAACGTTTTAAACGAACTACCTCTAATGACGGATTCACGTGTAGACGAAGAGACCAAGGCAACTTTTGAAACAAAAATTCAATACTCTCTTTCGTATTTAAAAAAAACATGCTTGGTTCTCTCAAAACGTTGCCTTGAGTATCGTAACCAAAAATTTCAGCACTCAACTTTTCATTCGTACAAAAAAGAGTTCTTTATAAAATCCTGCACATGTTCGATGCCCTCTATGTCTATCCAGGCTTGGACGGGAATGGCGTGCGATTACGCACTTTGTTTGACCACGCACATAAAAAAATATTTATATAATTTGACCACGGTTGCTTAGACGTTTTTAACAATATGTTAGGTTTTTTTAAAGCAGTACAGAAATGCGTTAAAAAAATATTCACAAAACTAAATTAAAAGGAACATTAAATAAGCTTAAAAAAAAAAAGAATATTAACGAAAAAGATAAAAAAAAACTTCAACTAAACTAAAAAAAATCGAACTCGAGGCGATAGTTTTTTTAAGTTACGTTTTTACGGTTTAAATAATTAACTTTAATCTTCTGTGATGTTTTATAAAAGTTTCAGAAACGCTTTTACAAATCACTTTTAACGACCATTTAATAAATGAACAAAGTATTATATATTTTATTTAACTATATACATAAACATATATATATATATATATATATATATATATATATATATATATATATATACCAAATATTTAATAACTAAATCTATTTTAAAGTCTTTTTAAAATAGTAATTTTCAATCGTTTCAAGCAATGATTAGTATAAAAAAAAAAGCAATTAGAAATAGCTCTTACTAAGCAAATTCTTTCAATTATTACATTATTACAATGCAATGTTATAATTTCATTAACAAAAGAAATTAGGTTATTAAAGCGTTTTACAGCGAGTGGAAGATTTGTACAGATTAAAAATTAAACATAAGTTTAAGTATTGAAGGTTTAAAAAATGGCATCGGCGGCAAAAATAATTAAATTTAATAAGCCAATATCAAAGAGCTTAAAAACATTTCTGTTGTGGGGGAAAGAGGAATATATCGGTTACACTGAAGATAACGGATTAGTTATCAAAATATGGTGTAAGGTTTGCGCAAGAAACAAGTTAGCTATTTTAAGTGATCGTTTAGTTAGAGGAGTAGTGGTTGGTTCTTTGGAAGCGTTTATTGAGGGAACTTGTGTGGTAACAAAACATCAGGTAAGATTAAAATTAAAAGCTCATTTGAATTTGCAAATACAGTAAATAATTTCAACTACGTTTTAACTTACTTTATTCAGAAATATTTAGTTCAATATTTTTTCAACGATAATTTATAAATTTGTCTTTATATTATGTTTTTAATTTTTAAATTTTGATTTTTAAAATAGGTTGATCGTCATCTTGAAGGTCATATCCATAAACTGGCGCTGGAAATCGATAAGAGAACCTCAACTGAAGAAGCTGGAATAGGCCACATAATAAATCCAGATAACCAGAACTCTTTATATAATAAGCAAAACATTCGCGAAGCGTATTTTAAGATGATAAAAACAGCATACGAAATGGCTTTAAAACCAAGCATGCCCCATAGTCATTTTGAAGTACTTATCAAATGCCAAAGACTTAATGGTGTGCAACTTGTAGAAGGAAAAGGCCACAATCGAGCAGGTAATTCATTTTTTAAATTAATTTGATATTATTTAAGAAATTAACAAAGATCAAATTAAGTTTCATTTATATTTAGCACGTCAATTTATCTCCTGCATTGCTAATGCCATTAAAGAAAAAATTGCTAAAATTGTTAAAGAGAAAAACTTTTTCTCCATACTTTCTGATGGCTCTCAAGCACGAAAAACAAAGGATGAGAAAGAGTCGGTTCTTGTTCGTGTTGAACGAGATGGCATACCTGCTTATCTTGTAGTATCTTTACTAGAGATGAACAATTTGGGTGGTGTGAACGCTAATACCATTAAAAAGGCTATTGACAGCATTTTTAATCAATCAGGAAATATTCCTTTAACTGCAGATGCATATAAAAATAAACTTGTCAGCGCTACTTCTGACGGAGCTAGCGTTAACTTAGGCATGTATAATGGGGTCTTAACTCAAATGAAAAACAACAGAACATGGCTAGTTAAAATGCACTGCGTGAACCACCGTTTGGAACTGGCAATTAAAGATAGTGCAAGAAATATTGTTCAGTATAGAGATTGTGATCAATTTTATTACCATTATTTTTTTTTACATTTTTTACATTTTACAATTTTATTACCATTATTATTTTTACATTTTTTTACATTATTTATTACTACCATCTTCCATTTATTTCGCAATTCTGGAAAATTAAAAAGTGAAGTTAAAAAAGCAGCAGAGGCACTAAATATTACATATTACACCTTGCCCAAAATATCAGGAACGCGCTTTGTCAGTCACAGAAGACGAGGATTGACAAGATTGGTACATAACTGGCCTGCAATTATAGTAGGCTTTGACAACGCACTTGTCAATCGCGATACCACAGCAGAAATGCGCGCTAAACTTTTCGGAATCTCCAAACGTTTGCATGACTACCGACTGTTATGCATGTTTTGCGGTTACTTAGACGTCTTAGAGAAATTGAGCCCGTTATCATTGGTTTTCGAAAAAAAAACGTTGTTGGTGCACGAGGTAAAACCAGCCATAGATCTAACTAAGGATTACTTGGTTGAACTAAGTAATGAAACAATAGACGATATACTTGATTCATATTTACTAAAATTTAGAATCAAGTACAAAGATGATACAACTACTCTTGTTTCTTCTTATTTCAAAGATGGCCACGAGTTAAAAAAAACAAATGCAGAATTTGTTGACATTGAGCTTTACGATATGACTAACATTAACTTTGATAGTATTAATGCTGCTATAGAAGTTAGAAAAACTGCAGTCAACATCATTAAACCATTAATAGACGATAGATTTAGTTCGTTGTCAAACACGGTCTTTGAATCAATGAGTTGGTTGGATCCCCAATTTTGGACAGCAGTCAATATGTACGGCGATGCTAGCATCTCTTTATTAACAAAGGAATTTAAAATTCCTTTAGAATATGCAGGATTAAAAGTTGAAATGGTTCTCTCTGAATGGAATGCTTTTAAATTAATAATAAACACAGAGTATAAAGGAGTTACAACGGCGGTGCTATGGGAGAACATTTTTGTTTATTATAGAAAAACTTTCCCGAACCTTCTTCTTCTTGTTGAACTAATAATGTGCATTTCTTGCTCAAACTCGTCTGTGGAACGGATTTTCAGTATACTAACCCTGATACTAAGTGATCGTCGTTTAAAACCACCAGACAATGGAAGACGCAATATTGATAGCCGGGAATGATCCAAATTTTACCGTAGAAGAACGAGATGATATTTTGAATAGTGCCCTCAATATGTACCTAAATAAACGCAGGGGTGTTCGCCTTGAATCAATGGAGAACGCTGATGCTGCACTAGAAACAATCGATAGTTCTGACGAAAGCTCCATTGACGACGAATATAGCTCAACATCTGAATCGGACTATTAAAATTATTGTATTTGTCTTCTCAATTCCGTTTTTTTTAATCCAACAAAATACATTTAAAAAAATCAGAGCTTTTACATTTATCATAAAATATAC